GTTCTGCTAGTTCTGGGCAAACAAGATTTTTAAAGGTAATTTAAAATTCATATAGGCCAGTGACTTAAATTTGGAATTGACAGGATTTTCCCAGTTTATGACATGAGTCAAAGTATTAATGATTAACTCTAAGCAGGATAAACTTAACATTTCTAATATAACAAATAACACTTTTGTATAGCATAATTTTTCAAATCATTGTCCGTAACGTTTACTAAAAATACCTCTGACTAAAACTTGGGGGTGGGTGGGACTGGGGGAGTGCGGCCCGGGTGCTGGGGGTGGGGGCGAGTTGGCGGGGCCAGCAGGCTCCCTACCTGGCTCCGCGCCTCCCCTGCAGCAGCAGAGTTTGGGTGTGGGAGGAGGTAGGAGATTGGGGCACAGGACGGGGTGAGGCGGGCTTTGGATGGCTCTTACCTGGGGGGGCTCCCCAGAAGCGGCAACCTCCCCCTTGCTCAGCTGCTAGGCAGAAGCGTGGCCAGGCAGCTCTGCGTGCTGCCTCTGCCCAGAGTGCTGGCTTCGCAGCTCCCATTGGCCAGGAACCGCAGCCAATGGGAGCTGCGAGGGTGGTACCTGCAGGCAGAGGCAGTGCACACGGCAGAGCTGCCTGGCCACACTTCTGCCTAGCAGCTGAGCCAGGGGGACGTTGCCGCTTCCGGGAAGCCCCCCAGGTAAGGGCCACCCACAGCCCTCCTCACCCCGTCCCGTGCCCCAGCCCCCTCCCACACCCAAACTCCTCTGCTGCTGGTGGGGTGAGGGGTGGGGCGGTAGCCCAAGACTGCCCCAGCAGCTGCCGGTACGACTGCCACAAGGGCTGCCTGAGGTACCCCGGAGCCAGGTGCACCGGCTGCTGCAGAAGTCACGGAGGTCATGGAAAGTCACGGAATCTATGACAAACTTGCAGCCTTAATTATGATGGTAGCATTTAAGAGTCCCAGTCATCAGGGCCTCATTGTGCTAGACACTTTGCAAATGCATAACAAAGAGGCAGTCACTTCCTCAGAGAGCTTACAATTGAAGTATATGATTAGAGACAACAGTGGATGCAACAAGCAGAAAGAGGGAGCGCAAGGAAATAGCCAACAAAACCAGTGATCACAGTTCAGCAGCTTCACTAAACATAGTCAAGTTTTTTTTGTAGGCATCACGGTAGAGGAGAGTTTTAAGGAAGGATATGGGAGACAGTAAGATGGCTTTTCAGATATTTAGCGGAGATCCTTCCATGCTTGAGGAGAGGCATGGAAGACAACATAAAGATGTTGGTTTGGAAAATGTAACAATTGGCCTTAAAGACTGGAAACATTGACAGAGCAGAATTTACTCCTGGGGGAATTCTGCATGTGCGCAGAATTCCTCTTTCCCGCAGATTTCTTTGCTTTCTCACAGAAAAATGACTTTCTGACAGGGATGCAAAGGGAAGCTGCAAGAGCAGTCTTGCACCACTCGCTAGCAGTGCAGGTACATTTTCAGGCACCCGGAGCACCTGGCAGAGAGGTAAATCACCATGGGGCTGGGAACACCCCAGCCAGTGGCTCTTAACCTGAGCCAGGATCAGCTGCTAGTCCTGTCTGGGCTGGAGGCTGGAGAGGATGGGACGACTTCTTCCCCTGCGAGGAGTGTCTGGGACTGTGTCAGACCCACCCCCAAGAAACCTCCCCCAGCTGCAGGAAGTGCAGCATCCTCCCCTGCTTCATGCCCCCATTGCTCCTCAACTGTGGGGGGAGGGCTCGCTGTACAGGGAACTGCTCCCCCATCCACCCAACCCCCATGCATCCGGACCTCCCATACCCAGATACCCCTGCCAAGCCTCAGTGAGCACATTTAGAACACCCCTAGCCCTCCATACCTGCACCTCAACCCCACTGAACCTCAACCCCTGCACCTGGAGCCCCTCTGCACCCAGACCTCCTGCCTCCGAACCCCCACCCCTGCACCCAAACCACCCCCCACTGAGCTCCCTGCACTCAAACCCCCACCCTCATGCCTCACCCTGAGCCCCCACTGACCCCCAACTAGCTGCACCCAGACCCCCACACCCAGAACCCCCGACCCCCCCCCATGCTCAGACCGTTCCACTGAGCCCCAACCACCTTCACCTGGAAGCCTTTGCAGAGTCGCATTGCCCCTGCATCTGGAAACTCTCTTCCTTCCCCCCCTCTCCCCCCCCAGCGAACCTCTGTGCATCCAGATTGGGGGTAGGCTGTGCAGGGCATTAAAAATGAAGGCTTACTACTGTAATTTGCTGTTCTGATTAAACAGCACATGTTTTAAATTGCCTTTTATAGTCCCTTCCCTGTATATGGAGGTGGGGGTGGGAGGAGCTGTGCAATGCTAAATTGTGTTCCCTGATCATTTTAACTTTTCTGTAATGGAATCTTGGAAGGGTAAATGAGGTAGTACCTTGTTTAAGCAAGACTTTTGAACTGAAGGGATCACCTCTTCCAGTTGAAGTATCACTTGAGAATATTTTGAGGGCTAGAAGAATGAGAACCTTGTCAGTCTGATTCTAGAATAGAGCTGTGCTTTATACTAAATCTAAATTCTAGTCTATTTATTGAGTGAGCAAGTTTAGGCTGGAAATGCTGGGCTTATCTTTTTACAATGAAAAAGCATCATGGTCAGTCAAGAAACAAGAAGGAACCTCATTTTAACACTCAAAGGATGATACCCATAATTGTGCAATATTCATTACCCCCTGTTGCTATGCTGACATATTAACATTCATAGGGAGCTCAAGTCCTAATCTGGAATTTGAATTTGGCCTCTTCTGGTCCAGAGACAAGAGTTCTACCAGTTGAATCAAATTGAGAACTGTAGATCACTTTAAAAAATCTTTGGAAAGGGGTAATCCTTTTCTGCGTGCTGGTAAGCAGTTGATGAATGCGCTTTTTGTAGCCTGAGTTTTTCTATGTTGGAAAAATTATTGTATAACATAAATGAGTAACTCTTTGTTTTTTGTCTCCCATAGGTTGGTATGTGGTGTGGCAACTGTTTTTATCTAAATTCAAGTTCCTGAGAGAGTTGATAGGAGACACAGGATCCCAGCAGGGAGATAATGAGCCTTCAGAGTCTGAAGCTGAACAGGAGACTCCACCCACTCCACAGAGAGGTAGACCGAAATCAGCACGGCAAAGAAGGGCACCAGCAGAAGAAGCAACTTAAAAAAAGTCCTCTGGGCATTCATTAGTGACCTATGAACAGATTAAACACTTCTGCTGCACTGTGTGATTCAGCAGTTTGGTTTTACTGAAAACAATGGACTGCAAAAAAACCAAATATCTGTGAACCTTTACTTTTGGATTTCAGATATACACTACTTTAGTAGCGGTTCAGGAAGGGCTTTAATGGTAAGCCATATAGAACTAGAAAAAAGAAGGTAGGGGGAGAATCTCTGCCTGAAAAAGGCTGAGCTGCTGTAGCCCCCACCCCTGCAAATGGATGCTGTTTCCTGGTCCATAGGCCTAGCCTTTCCATTAGTCTGAACATGGTAAGCATCTCAGACTTGAAATGGTTGCTAACTTATTTTTATTTCACAGCACTGCAACTAGTTGTAGTAAAATTTAATTTTATTTCTGTATTTCATTCAGTTATATAAATATATATATATTCTTCAATTTGTCAATGCATGTAAACTTGAAAGATGTTCAAAGGATATCCTGCTTGCACGGTATTCTAAAATGAGGTTTAGTAACCTTTTCTATACGAGAGAATTAGTACTAGATACACATGATGTGGAGGTTGTAACTATCTCCTTAAAGAAAAACATAATCAGGTGACCATACCCGGTTTCTTGGTTTTGACACAAGAAGGGTTACAGGTAAAACTATTCTGCTAGACTTCTGTTTTTTGTCATCTGAACCTCTGACTCCATTTTTACTGGAGATAGGGAGATGCAGCATGGGTTAAGTATCTTCACTGTTCAGTATCCTAAAGTGGCAAGCACAGTTCTAACTCACTTTAAAATGTAAACATTTTTACATCAGGTATTTGGTACCAGATTTTTTTTCTGGCGCCATTTATTATGAAGAAATTGTGACCAATTTGGTGGACACCACTTTAATAGTGTTGTAGCAATGTGTTTAGTACCTCATGTTTGGTGGTGGTTACTGGTTTTATCAGCAGTTTAGCAGATTCTCCCAGTTCTTCAGTACCTGAATTGTACTCCAGGTGAACATCCTTTTAATTTAATTTTATTTTTTTGCATTGTACTTCAAGCAAAATTAAATCCCACATTGCAGCAATCTAGCAACTTTAAACTAGTGTTTGATGTGTATCAAACAAGAAAGAATAAGCAGGTGCTGCCTCTGAAGGGGGATGTTGGGGGATGAAGCTACAAAAAGAACAGTCTGTGTTTTGGGACAAGCTCATCTGACTTCCTTTCATAAACTTTGGATGCATTTGTTGATTTGTTTAGTTTCTCCTTAGTGGTTTTCCCTGCATTCAGATTCTGCTCTACAGGAAAATGTCTTAAAACTACAAACTATGAAACCTACATTAGTGGACAAACTCTCTTGAACCTCTAGTGATAATAGCAATGCTTAGCTCTTTGATAGAATAGACTCTTATGTCTGGGAGAAGAGCACATTTTTACTGCCTTTATATTCTAATTTATCTGTGGATATTGTTTGAAAGCTAATGTTAGGATTTGAAGATGACAGTATTAACTGAAATATACCACAAACAGCTGACATAAACATTCTTCCTGATGTGTCAGTGTTAAAATATGTAATGGATGTCCTGACCCTTCCCTGCAAGTTCTATATTCTTTCTTTGTTTACCAGCATGTATGTACAAGCATGCTTTATTACGGGATTATACTTTCAAGCATGGTTACACATCAGTTTGCACATATCCTCTAAACACATGTAAAACCTATTAATAGTTTTTCCTATTCCATACTTCCTGCTGGTAAGAATGGGAACTGGAAATGGCTATTGATTAAGGTAATAAAATCCCCATTGTATTCAAATTGATCAACAACATTGTTTCATTTTCCTGCTTGTTTCAAGTGTTTGCCTTTAGGACATACTCAACAGTATAGTCCATTTGATGCACAGTATACCTTCAACCTAACCGTTCTAAGCAGATTTTGGAGCACTTTTCTTAATCTTTTCATTAAGAACATACATTTTGTACACTCTCATGAATTTTAGTCTGCAAAAGGACTATAATCTTGATATAAAGCATTCATACTATATGTACATTTCAGTTCTAACTGAAATATAAGTACACATAGGAAATACACATACAGCAAAAAGCTGACATTTCTAATCTCTCCTGCTGAAAGAGGTAATGGAAACCCACAGGCAGTCTCTAATTTTAACAGCTGTGAAGAAATGTGAAATTATAGCAGTACAGATACCCAGCAAGGTAGCACTCAAAAGTCCTTGTGCCTTATGCCTTGAGTAAGTTGATGAGGGAAACCCAAGTAAGTTTCAGTGCTGACACTTTTATCTGGAAGTATGCAATAAAATGGAAATTAAAACTAATGAATATAGAACTCTGGGAAGCAAGTTTGTCCTGCCTTTCTGACCAACCTTTTTTTCCTCACCAAGTGTACATTTCCCCCACATGGAGTCATCTATTCTGTCATTTTGTGAAAAATAGCCAACACTATTGTATTAATAATGCTGATGTGACCTACTTGCCAGTAACACTAAATCCACCTATAACATTACATTCATGCTCCTAGTAGCAGCATGACAACAAGGTTTATATTATAAAGATAGTATGAGTTGTGTAGCTTTGGTAATGAAGATGTCAATGTATAATATGAATAGGAGAAAATAAAAAGGGTTTTCTGCACATGTCCCATGTGGAAACTTCTGCGTATTGAGGTTTTATACACACCTACAAGGGTGTATTTATGTGAAAGTGTGCATGTGACCAGGTCCAAGGTATTAAGTTTTACCAGTCCAATAGAACTCATGTTCTTGTCTTCAAAATATTTTGTTTTGGACTTTTTTTTAACAGTATACATCTAAAGTATTTTAGCTGTAGCTGAGCACTTAGTTTTTAATTAAGTAATACAATTCTAAGAAACCTTTTTGTAAGGCAAAAATATAAATGACTTCATCTTTGTTTTAATTAGATTTATTTTTAAATATATATGCCTTATTACAACCATTCTACTGAATATACTTGTTGGTTTGGGTCTATTAATTTAAAATATATTCATATCACTTTTGTGGCAATGATTGAGTGAGCAGCAGTTATCTGCTTTGTTTATGAAACACTTTATTTGAAAAGGTACTGCCAGAGATTGTAGAACAAGCACATAATATAAGCTGGTTGAAAAGAGTAGGTAAATAATGGCTACAAATTCAGGAGAAAACTGAGGACAGTTGCATTCTTGTAGGATTTTTTTTTTATGAATATTGCATAATTCAGACCTGTTAGGAAGCCATTTATGATTTTTATCATGGTTATTTAAAACCTGCCCACAAGGCTAATTCTATGCAGTTCATTCATTAAGCACTGCTGCTGTAGCTATTTGCAGTAAATGCTATATACTGTGCTGCAATCAGTGAGCAATTTGCTGCTTAACGTTAGGTTTACACTGATCTAGACCTGTGTATGTTTCAACTTCAGTTTGTTTGGAAACAACCAGAATAAAGAATGTGTTTAATGTAGTCATTTGCATTCTCAGTGTTAACTGTTAAAAGATACTGTACCTAATGCTTATGTGGTTTGTCTGTATTCATCATGTTAACTGTTCTTTTAAACTGACTGCACAGATAACTTTACAAAAATAAAATAAAATAGACTTGATATGAGAACTCTTGTGGTATATGAGTTAATATTTTTGGAGGAGTGTTGGTATCTCATTTGCAAAGTATTATGGTGGCTCTTTAGTTTGAGTGCAGAACAGTATGTAATCAAACCCAACTGTCAGATTTCAACTGTTATCATGGATGCAAATAGTTTGAATCTATAAAAATAGCCAACTGCTTAATTAAAAAAAAATCAATATCTCTAACTTTTAAAACAATGAATATTCCCTCAAATTAGAAATTGACACCTGTTCCTTTAGCACTTTTTTCCCCTCTACATTGTTACTACACTTTAGTGTGGCTCTATATAAGGTTGTTTACCAGTACTGACCTACTAGCTTCATTTAAAACAAAAAACGAACACCGTATAGTATGGGGGTGGTTTTTTAGATTGAAAGTGGAAGCACATTTGGGGATGGGGTGAGGGAGAGAGTGTAGTCTTGTGACTAGAACACACAAGTTGGGAGAGTCCTGCTCTCTGACCTAAGGCAAGCTACAATTTCATTCCACCTCACTTTTCTCATCTGCAAAAATGGACTAATGCAATGCAGTGACATTGCACTTTTGAGGAAAGATGGTTGTGCCAGAGCAACTCTGATACTTGGATTTCCTTGCCCCCAGTCACATATTTTCAAGTCTAGGTGTGAGGAGAAACTCCACTGGTGCTGCTGATCTGTGACCTACTCCCAGCAGTGGAAGAGTGTAAAATATCCGTGCTGATTCCTTTGGATTTGTTAGCAGTCTTTGACACCAACCATGAAAGATACGGTGACTTTTCTTCAGTCTCTAGCAGGATGCATAGAAAGACTCTTGAGTTAACTCCACTCCTTTATCTGAGCAGCCCCACGAAGGGGTTTGACAGTTTTTCTTCCCTACAGGCACTCTTGTGTGGGGTGCACTGCATTACAACTTGTCTTCTGTGCTGTCCAGTGTGTGTGTAGGATCCAGTTAAAGTACTGTATGGGGTTTTGGGGGGAGGTTTCTTTTGGCTTTGTTTTGCTCAGTATACAAATTCGTTTGTCAACTTTGTCTTACTCTACATTGGTGTGGAGAGATGTGTGTGTTAGTATAAAGAACAGATAATATTAAGTCTAAAAGTTTGAAAATATTTTTTAAAATTGCTTAGTGTGTGTATAGGCCAAGACATTTGTGTATTTTGCGACTTCTGAATTGGTTGCACAATTCATTCCTTCTCATGGAATTGTTGCATCAGAATCTAAACTCTCATTTTAAAAAACTTGTCTTGCTGTAATGATTGTGAATTAAAACTTTCCAATTGAAAACAGTGTAAATTGATACTATATTATCTTCCTGAGTCTGCAGGCAGCCTGAAACAATTACGAGAAAAGAGGTGTGAAGTGACCTTTTTTCATTCCCAGTGGGTTGTTAACTCTGAAACCTAGATCTTGAAAGCTAAGCATAATTGGTGGTTTTCAGGTGCTGTGTATGTGGGTATGTGGATACACTGACTTCCAAGCATAAGAGGTGGCAATACTTGACTTGGGCTTGGTCTACATTTAGTTTAGGTTGACATAGCTATGGCACTCAAGAGTGTGGATTTTTTTACACCCCTGAGTGCCGTAGCTATGTCAACCTAACCCCGGGTGTAGACACAACTAGGTTGACAGAAGCATTCTTCTGTCAACCTACCTGTTATCTCTCTCACTTACATCTTTGTAGGCTGTATCTATGTTATTCAGTTAGGCAGCCATAGCTGCGCCATGATAGCTGTGTGGCTATATTCCCCATGTGTAGACGCAGTCTGGGCTTCAAACAAAAGGGAATTGACAGGATAGAGGTTTAGGTAGACCTGAGGGAGGAGAAGAAATGGCCAAGATGTAGTCAGGTGAGGTGCCTTGAAAATGAAAAAAACTCTGTGGGGAAATAGAGAAGCTAACGCAGGAATCCTAGATTGTGGGATGTAGATTTGATTCTTCTGCAGAGAGCTGAACCCACAGGAGTGAATAAGGTTACCAAAAGGGAGCTGGCTGATGTGTGTGTCCTGAAAGTCCTAGATGGGGATGAGGGGTTAAAGTGACCTGAGGAGCTACTGGAGAGCTTAAAAAGCAAAATAAGAAACCATAGTCTTGGATGCCCAGGAATTAGAGAACACAGATGAGTAGGAAGTGGGCCAAGGCACTAAAGGCAGCAGATTAAGGAGACATAAGCCTGTTGAATCTGCAGGAGTAGTAATTTGTGACCTGAGTGAGAGCAGTTTTAATACAGTAAGAGTACACATCCAGAAGTTAGGCCTTTTGAAATTTCAGACTTCTGGCATGACCAACTAACACCCAGCTCTTACATAGTGCTTTTCATCAGTGGATCTCCTTATAAAGGAGGTTAAGCATCATTATCCCTGTTTTCCAGATAGGGAAACAGAGGCAGACGTGAAGCAATTTGCCTAAGGTTACCCAGCAGGCCACTGGCAAATCCAAGAAGAGAAACTGTTTCCTGAGTCCCAGTCCAGTGATCTATCAAGTGGGCTACACTGCCTCCTACATGCAAAATGGATGCTGTGTAAACACTAGCCTTACGGGGGAACTCAGCTCAATAAAGATGGCCTATCTAAAATGTATGGTCTGTGTTCTGTAGCACACAGGTCATATCTTTAATAAAAAAAAAAAATTCACACTTGCTGTTTGGCTGTTATATGCTCCCTAGGCTGTAGGCATCTGTGGTATGTCTATCATTTCTAGTAGGCATGCACACTGCAACCAGGACTGCTTGCTTTAGGTTATTTGAGTGTTGTCAGCTGTCTCAACTTTCCAAAACAGAGAAGAGACATGGGTCCTACACCATAGTCCTAGCTGAACTGTGTGTATCTGTGAACCCTTCCCACAGTCAGTTTTGCATATCAAGATTTATTGCTGCACTCAGAACAAGACAGAGTGTATTTATTTTATTTGTATGCATAGACCTGCACCTAGAAGTCCATGACTGTAGAAGCTACTTAGCTACGTTAATGGAATAATTTATTGAACTAGAAATTATGTACAGTATGTACTATTTATGTATTGCATTCTTGGTGTGGCTAATCAGAACAGATAGAAGTTGTCAGGGCACAGTCTGTAGGGATCAATTTCCTCTTGGCTAAACTAGAGGATTCTGGCATGGCAAGAGGCTGCTGTGCTTTCTGTTACACAGCTCACAAGAGTTTGCAAGTATTGCTAGCATTGGTTTGGAGCAAGGCTCACTTCCTCTGTTCTCGATTGTTTCATTGTTTGCTTTTTCAGTGCTAAATAATGTTACAGCTGTGCAGTTGCAATAGGTCTTTGTTCTCCTAACACAGTGCTCCTCAGTGATCGCTGTGGGCAATGTCTTCTGTACTCTTGATTGCTTTCTTATTTTTAGTTATTGCAGCTTCTGTAACTATATGTATGCAGTTTTTTTATATGGGACAATGTATTCAGTCTTCAGGCTTTTTCATGTTGAAAATAAATTAAATGGTATAGCCATTGCATAATACTGCTGACACACATGCTGTTTCATACATTGTCATGCCATAATTTGGGTGGCTTCCATTTTTTAAAAGGTTTTGCACCTCTCCACTGGTACTCCCACAAACCTCCACTTAGGATAGGTATATCTCCATATATCATCTTCAATCTCATAGAGCTGGAAGGGACCTTGAAAGGTCATAGAGTCCAGCCCCCTGCCTTCACTAGCAGGACTAAGTACTGATTTTGCCCCAGATCCCTAAGTGGCCCCCTCAAGGATTGAACTCACAACCCTGGGTTTAGCAGACCAATGCTCAAACTACTGAGCTATTGCTCCCCCCGTCCCCCTCCCCCGACCTATGATAGGAACACTAAAATGTGTACCCACAATGCTCTGGTACTGCAGTGATTGCAGGCAATGTTGTGTATGGTGTAGCGCAGTGGTGTATCAGAAACAAAATGGCTAACATGGATATACTGCACCATGACAAATAACCATGGTTCAAATGTCCCAAGGATGCTACAACAGGGTGAAATTCTCTGGCACTGACAAAACTTCTAAGACTCATTCTCTTACCTAGCACAGTGTCACTGAGTTTAGCCTGCCACAACTGGGTCTTGAGATTCTTTCAGAAAAGAGATGGCATCAGATTTGTATCTAAGAATTAAAGTCTGAGTACAGATGCTGCACACACAAAATACTCAGTAATTAGACACTGAACGGTGAGGGAATTTGAATAGATAACTTCTGGTACCCTGTGCAAAGCAGCTGTGGGGAGGGCATTTTCAACATTACCCTTGAAATGGCTTCCTGGGATTGAGATGACCATCACTGATTTCTCTCTCTCTTCCCCTCCCCCCCCTGTGTTAATGTAATACAAATAGGCCAAGGAGTATAGTCTAGTTCAGCGGTTCTCAAACTGTGGGTTGGGACCCCAGAGTGGGTCACCAGGGCTGGTGTTAGACTTGCTGGAGCTCAGGGCTGAAGCCCAAGCCCAGTGGGCTTCAGCCTCAGGCGGTGGAGCTCAGGTTACAGGCTCCCCTGCCCTGGGCTGAATCCCTTGGGCTTTGACTTTGGTCCTGGCCCCCCACCGAGGGGAGAGGGGCTCGGGTAGGCTCAGGCTTCAGTCCCTTCTCCTGGGGTCATGTAGTAATTTTTGTTGTCAGAAGGAGGTTGCGGTGCAATGAAGTTTGAGAATCCCTGGTCTAGTTATTAAACCACAAAAGTGAGAATTTGGACTCTTGGATTGTCTTCCCAGTTCCACAGTTGACTTTCTATGTCATCTTCTTTATAGCATTATTCGAACCATATTACAATACAGTCATGAACCTTGATTCCTATTTGTACAACATGTAGACACTGGAGAAGTATTAAACATATGGTGCAATATAGCTTCTACTTAGACTCTTCTATAGGATCCAATAATACTGAGGTGAGGTTGTTCTTGTTTTTCCAGTGGCCCTGACCCAAAAAATGATCAAAATTCTCCTAAGACCAAATAAATCATGTGGTCAAAATCCAAGGAAATCTGCTATACTCATTGAACTGACTCTGCTCAAGAAAACATG